GCTGCAGATCCTGCCCTTGCTGCAGATTTTGGAGAATCCTTAAGGAGTAAGGATACATCACCTAGCTTGAAGAAGAGAGATGTATCTGCTGCAGCTGCTGCCGTGGTTGATGCTCCTGCTGTTCAAACAGGACCAGTTACTCTCGTGCCAGTCTGCCCAGGAAGAGTCAGATTCTTCTAAGTGTTCAAGTCCCACAGACTCTATACTTGCTTTAATTTGTAGCAGAGCACCTTTGATACTCGAGCCATGTCCAGTAGTAGCAGTTGGAATAATTTGTTTTAAACTGTCAAATCAGACAATCATCTGTGTAAAACTGAATGTAATGCTCATCATTAAATCTTCAGTAAAGGTGTTTATAAATCAAAACAATGGACTATGTCAGTACATTTACAGGCCTAGTGAGCACACTTATATGTACCATGATGCATTCAGTCATTCCTGCAAAGTCTTTCAGAACAAGTGCAGAAGTTTACAGTGCATTCAATCCTGCTGTGAACCTGCTGACACTTCTCATACAGTCATGGAAGAAGAAAACACACACACACACACACACACACACTTTAAAGATTTCATTACACAGGCAATATGACATTACACAGTATATTTTACTGACAAACATTGTGTGCTAAAATAAATGAGAGCAGTGGAACACTTGATTTTCAAGTTCACCACGCAAGCACTCATCCACCCACCCCCAGGCAGCTGTTTATGAGTGGGCAAATTCCATTTATTGCATTTACAAGAACGGATCAATGCATATCATGCTAAAGCACAAACAAGCTGGACAAACAGGTTCAAAAAGAGGCTGTGTACCTTTCAAGTGTAAGAAGCGGATATTATGGCCCCACTGGGTAAACTGATAGCAAAAGCAGCCAAACAGAGGTCGTCCGTCACAACCTACATCAGAGCAGATATGAATTCTATGCCCTTCTGCCCAACACACACTCCACAAAAAAAAAAAGTTTAAAGCACACATTTTGGGTAGTTGCACCATTTATTCACATTGCTAGAAATTGCTGCTTTCACGCTTCCAACTTCAATGATTTATCTGAAGGAGTTCAAGAGACATTTGTACGAGTCCAAACAACAAGGGTAAGGAGTTCAACACCTGCCTCAGCTACACACTACCACCGGCTTAGTGATCAGCTTCTCAGCCCCATCCTTGAAACATCTTTTGAGCATTATGGGGTGGAAACCTGTTGCTGGAGCCTAAAGGAGTCGAGAAGTCTTTAAAGGATTCGTGGAATTTTAGCTTTAACTGTGCTGCACCTAAAGGTGGCTTGTAGAGGGGAAATATAAGTGGAGGGCCATCCGTAGTAGGAGAAAGGAATGGCAGACCGGAATTGTTAACGTCATCATTATCCTCATTTTCATTATCATAATCATCATAATCATCACCATCATCATGGTTAGCATTACCAGGCGAGGGAGTGGGAATACCTTCCTCAAGCCACTTGGAGAGTTGTTCATTTCCCTGCAGGGGCTTAAAATTCAGTGGAGTCTGATGTTTACCATTCTGCTCTTTTGCAAGATTTTGGGTCATAAAATTTAAATCAACAGTCGGATCTCTGTAAAGCTCGGAGGAATCCGGCTCCCTGCCTGGTGGCTCACGCTGTAGCAGCACATAATTCCCAGAATAGAAATTTAGAGTTTGCTCATGTTTGGAGTTTGAGTCACTTATGAATGGTTTTAAATTGTTCGGGAACACAGAGTTGTTATAAGTGGATACAGGAGCGTGCTGAAGCCTATCGAAAGGAACCATAAAATGATCAAGTTCCTCTCCAGGTGATTTATTATGTTGCTGCTGTGAATTTGGGTTGTTAGACATAAAATTAGGCCACGTTGGACGGTTCAAGTTCCCAGTCAATAGTTGACCGTTTACCTGCACTGGGGACTTAATGTTATTCAGCTGATATCGCCCTGCTGGGTCATAACCTGAAGGCAGAGGTTCTGAGGATTGGCTGTGTAGATACGGCCAGTGGGCATGCAGTGAATTAGGTGCGGGGTTCATGCGGTTCAGTGGTTTATGATTTGCAGTCCAACTTGGATCATTTCCTCGCGGTGTAGTAGGGTTGCCATCTGGTGGCTGTAAATATAATTGCTCCACATTTTGAGCTGGAAAGGGGTGCAGTGAGTGGGGCACAGAGGTGTAAGATGAGGCAGATTGTGCTGCTTCAGTCGGCTGTTGAGGAAGTCTTGCAGAACCCACGCCAAACTCAAAATATGAAGCTGTAGGTGGAAATGAAAGATCTGGAAATAAGTGAGGCACATCTGCACAACTGCCAGCTCTAGCTGGAGTAATATGGAGAAGCTGATAAAAAGTAATTTGTGTACAGCAGTTAGACAAGCTGGAGGAGCACACAGGTTGCATATATGCAGAGCTGGGCTGAGGATCTTGCGGGGCTGTATAACTATTGATAGTTAGTGGAATTGCAGATTCAGGATGTTTTTGGTCACTGGGTTTAGCAGCACCCTGTTGCTGCAAATAGGTAGCAGAGGGTAATGTCACAGGCTGTAGCAGCTGGAGCTGCTGTGGGTAATAGAACTGGTTAAGTAGGTGATGCGTCTGGCCCTGTGGATATCTGAGAAGAGGTGGTGTGCTTTGGACTGGATTTTCCTCATTTGTTCCAGCTGGTGTCTCAGATGTTTGACAAAGTTTGTGCACTTGTCCCAAAAGACTTTCAGCTGCTGATGCCAAAGCAGCATTTGGATTTCTGGCAGGCTGATTTTCAGGGCACAAGTACATTTGCTGGTGTACTTGACGCTGAGGGGCTTCAGGCTGTGGTGGCTGAGGAACAGTGGAGGGGTTTGTAGCAGGCTGTACTTCGGGCTTTGGTTGGGGATAGAAGTGATAGAGGTGGGAAAGTTGGTTCTGTGCTTTGGGTTCTGCTTCCTCTGGTTTT